CAACTTAAGCCATTTAACTAGTCTAATTAGCTTTGAATCGAAGCTTAATCGTCCTATATATTTAGGTGGATTAAGGTTTGAAATATGCGATCCAGATTATTTTTCATCTTATGGGATCGCCAGAGTTGTTCGGGGAATTAAATCTATTTGGCCATGGTCAAATCGGTCTATCAAACAGGACATTTTAAAGAATGTACCAAGTATTAATGTTGATGGTCTAAGTTCTCAATCTAGTGATTCTACAGTTGATGAACAGGATAATGTTATTAGATCAAGAAAAAGCCGAATGACGACCGTCGTCAATGAGAAAAATATATCGTCATCTGCATATAGCACATCTCATATAGCCCAAATTACACCGGTATTAGTAAATATGAAAAAAATAAAATTTATTGAGAAATATATTAAATTCTTGCCTTGAAATAAATTAAATAAAGAATAGAGTATAGTAAGCTGCCAATTAAAAATCTTCGCCGCAACCATATAAAAAATATAAATGTGTAATGTCATAAAAGACAAAAAGTCGGATAGAAGTGATAAGACCATTGACCCTCCTAAAGCTCCGGATAATCCAATTATCCTAAGAATCTCGGGTATAAATGGGCCAATAGTTGTCACACAATCTATAAAAAAAAAAAAGTGTATAATAGAGATAAAATTTTCAAAGTAAACAATGATTTTTAAACTACCTTTCCACAAATCAATTGACCAAAGAAAGAGTTCACCCAAGAATTTATCGAGCTCACTGTTCAATTTCAGGCCCGCTGGCCAGCCCATTAACCATTCAATCATTGACACTAAATTTTCAATAGTATAATGCTATAATTATTAACAAGAGATATAGCCCTTAGAATATTAATATAATCATGAGTGAAATTACATGCTTTGACATCCTTACATCAAGATAGTCCTTCGATAAGATATTTGCCACGTACTCACTATTATTGATAAGAAATGATCCTATGGTAACTCCTATTATGATATCATTCGCTACAAGCCACATACTGTTATAAAAACTTGAGTAGTGGTTCATAAACTCTATTAGATAGGGTTTGGAATTGTCATCTGGGTGAAACCCGGGTCAATTAAAAAGTTTCCAATACGGGCCACCCACCCAACGGGTGGACTATACATCAGCGGGTGAAAATCAAATCATACAGGGAGATCCCCAAAATTCCGGGTCGGAATGCATCGAACCATGATCGGATGGGCCGGAATTTATCAATTTTGCCAAAGATCACTAAGAAGTTTACTAATGAAACCATAGTCGTTCATTAAGTGAAAATTCCCAGCTGATAATTTTACTATAGCTCCTGCTAACTAAAATAGCTAACCCTAACCACGATGCATTCCGACCCGGAAATTTAGGAATCCTTCTGTAAAAAATGTGAAAATCAGTAGGGATCGACTTAAAAAAAAAAATCCTATCCCGGAATTTCCCGCTGACCTTGCTCGTATTTTACGTTCGCTGACTCCAAAACTTTCCGATAGTAGACTCACACACCACGCAATTTATGAATCTGTGCCCGGTTTGTTGAATATCTATTTAAACATAACCAACCAGATCACGGCTTTATTTGCGTCGATTCTAAGATTTGAAAATCTTTATAATTTCTAGCGATGATTTTCTTAATAATTACTTGATCAAGTTCGGTAGAAAATTTTTTTATTTTAATTTCTATACATTTGGAGAATTAAAATAAAAGAAGTTTATTGAATTTGGTTTAATGATTGTCAAGAAAACTTCGGCAAAAGTTTAAAATATCTTAGGAAAAAGCTAAAATCGGGTGAATTTTCCTTTTTTAAAGATATCTCGACACCCATCTATCCAAATTCGATGAATTTTTTTATTTTATTTTAATCCTATGAATCTATGGAATAAAATAAAAAAAAAACTTTGATCGAATTTGATCAGGTAAGCGTCGAGTAATCACCGTTCGATTAATTCTATAGACTCATAATATAAAAAAATCATCGAAATTGGATAGATGGGTATAGAAATCTTCGATCAACGTTTAAAAATAGAAAAATTCACCTAAGATATTCAAAGATTTTTTTGAACTTTTACCGAAGATTCCTCGACATCTATTAAATCAAATTCAAAAAACTTTTCTCTTATTTTAATTCTATATATATATATATATAATTAAAATAAAAAAATTTTTACCGAATTTGATCAAGCAAATACTAAGAAATCATCGCTAGAAATTATAAAAATTTTCAAACCTTAAAGGGCCAACGCAAATAAAGCTATGATCTGATTGGTTATGTTTAAGTAGATATTCAACAAACCGGGCACAGATTCAAAATTGCACACGCCGTGGGTTGGCTTACGGGTGACCCGCGGGTTGACCCACCCGGGTAAACCGGATCCAATCACTAGTTTGGAAGTTGCTTACGTTAAACAAGTAGAGTAATAATCCTACCTAATATACTGCGCACGAGTTGTCGCAGTATTCGTCCAATCTCTTATTCGGAGTAGCATGTATTGCCAAGGCCAATAACTAGCCTGCTGAAGGCGTAGATCAATTTGCTGTGCTACAGTTGTAAGCAATAAATGGATTCAATTATTTGAATATCGGTTGCAGTGATTTTACAGAGGAACAGCTTACATGTTGCAGATAAATCCTTTAATGCGGTTCCATTAAAAAGCCACGGTGGAAATCTTAAATTCAAGATCCGTAAAACCACTTCGGCAAATATTCTCACAAGAATGAGTAATATGATTATTGGTTGTGAAAGGGTGGACTTAATCATAGGGGTCAGATAGTTAATTGGATAAAAAAAGCTTTTTTTTATGAATATCCCTATCCCAACTGCCGATTCTTTTACTGTTTCAGAAACACTTTTACTTCGGCGATTACGTCTTGTGGCAAACGCTTGACAACGAGATATAATAGCTTTCTCAGTTTCAAATGAAGAATTAATCTGGGTGTTGAATTTACGAAATTTACGTGTGAGCAAAGCAAAATATAATAAGAGTATTAAATTTGTGGTTTCACACCTGGTTTAAAATAAGATCCATATAATTAATTTGTATTCGCTCTTCTCCTGAGGAACGAATATGAGTATTAACGATTTTTCTCACATTTTTTATGGTCATCGAATCCTGCTCAACTTTATTTCTACTATCTTGTTGAATGTCTAATACTAACGGATCTAATGAAAGATATTGAAGCTTTGTGGGATTTGGCTGTTTGTAAAAAATTATTTCAGAACTAATATTTGAATATCGATAACCACAGCAATATATAGACCTAATATAAAGAATATTTATTAATTGATTTCATACAAAATAATTAAGAATATAATATTGAAGGATCCCTAACCTGAGAGAAGGCATATTATTATCCTGTAAATGGATCGTCATCCAAAAATTTGCGGTCGTCTTTTTATCGGCAATGCCTTTGAGACATCAATAAATAAGTTTATAAATTATAAACAACTCGCCTTTAGACAATTAAATTTCTATGGCACATTGATGAAGGTTATAAATGTGTATCATAGTAATTATGATTCATTATACCTTCTTTGTTAATATTATAATGAACATCATCAATATTAGAACGGGTAGTTATCACGCCCAAGACAACTGGCGGCGCACCACAAACATTTCCCATATATACGAAAGGTGAGCTATTATCCGTCGATAATGCGGATAAAGCGGCTTCCAAATCTCTAAGCTTAAGTATAAAGTTCATCAGCGCATTTGGTATGACATAAGAGCACTTATACGGATAGAGCACTTATTAGGGATGGTAAAAATCGCTTTTTAATGATTTCCATGTTTTTTAACATGATTTAATAAAAATGTTTTAAAACATTGTTGATTATGACGTTGATGGATGAATTACTGCACCTAATTGATTAATTTCAACTTCAGTGTCGCCGTGAAATTTTATTTCTATTTCTTACCGCATCAGTATTATTAATCATGACATCAATATCAGTGACGATGTTTTAAAACATATAAAAAATCATTTTAAAGCAATATAAAATTGATTTAAAACATTATGTTTAAATCATTTGCCACCCCTAGCACTTATACGAATAGAGGATGACATACATTTACATCAGAAATCACCGAAGCAACGCAAGCTGTAAAACTACAAACATTCCAGCCTACTAAAAATCCAGATTTTGTCCGGGATGAACATACATGTGCCGGCCAAAATATCTTGGATACAGTTCCAGGCGTATACATGATTCTATGAATAACTTCCTCTTCGTTGAAGATGTTCCCTAGCAGAAGTCCTGTAAGGGTAACCGTTGTTCTATACGTATAAATTTTATGAATAATTATTATTATGTTGATCTGAATTGTGTAAGGATACGAACAGTGTTTAAAATTTAGTGTTCTCATGGTTCTCAAAGTACATTCAATTTATTTTAAGAACCTTGATATTTAAAACAAGGTTCTCTTATTTGAGAACATTTTATTACTTTAAAATGTTCTTAAAAAATATTTAATATAATTCAATTTAATAAACTAGTGCTCTGAAAGGGTCATTTGGGTTGAGTTTAAAGTCTAAACCAAGCCCAACTCGAGCTATATATTTGTATTATGTACTGCAAAATTCCGTTATCTAAAAATTATTTTATAAATTAAGCAATGCTACAATAGTTATGCAATTTAAATAATTTGATTCAAGCTAGTGTAAAGAGTCTAAAGTTGGGTTATTCAAATTAACACAATCTTTTAAGAGAACATTAAAAATTTTTTGAGAACACTAATAATTTAAATTAAGCTCTAATTTTAAATTTGAATTTTAAACACTGGGTACGAACACTTACCCTTCTGGATTCGTAATCTGCAATTCGGTAGAGAGGAATAAGAATAAAAAGAAAAAGTATACTGAGACCTGCAAACACGTAAAGAAGGTGGCGCTATACGCAAAATAAAAAATCAATACGAAAAAAAAAAATTAAAATTAATAAGTAGATTACGCTACAAAGATTAGATCTCGTTTAAATTTATAGTAAATACCTTGTGAGTAGTTGACGGAATGTCGTTAAAAGCTTCGTATAATTTGGTCACCAGGTTGTAGTGACAAGCAATATAGCCAACTCCAAAAGAAGCTAAGGTACCCAGAAGGTACGCATTCATAAGTAAGGGCTAGTACCCTAGCCATGGCGAAAAAATTTGTCGCTAAAATGAGATTCTACTTGAACAGTCGCATTCTGATTGGACGAAATTATTCAATTGTAATTATATATTTTTTTTTAAACAAGGATATCTCGACAACCATCTATATGAAATCGATAAAATTTTTTTTATTCTGATTCTATATGTCAATATAGTTAAAAAAAAATTTCATCGATTTTAAATAGGTGGTTGTCGAGATATCTTCGCTCAAAGTTCGGAAAAAAACTTTGCCGCAGCTTTTGTTTTGATAATTTTCTAAACTATGAGCGAAGATATCTCGACAACCACCTATCTAAAATCGATAAAAATTTTTTATTCTGACTCTATATGTCTATTAATTAAAATAAAAAAATTTCATCGATTTAGGTGGGTGGTTATCGAGATATTTTCGCTCAAAGTTCGGAAAAAACTTTGCCGCATCTTGTTTTGATAATTATCCACGTTTTTTTTCTAAACTTGAGAAAAGATACAGTATCACCTACCTAAAATCGATAAATTTTTTATTCTGATTCTACGTCTATATAATTAAAATAAAAAAATTTACATCGATTTTAGTAGGTGGTTGTCGAGATATCTTAGCTCAAAGTTTAGAAAAACTTTATCGCGGCTTTTTTGATAGTTATCCAAGTCTTTTCTAAACTTTGAGTAAAGTTATCTCGACAACTACTTATCTAAAATTGATGAAAATTTTCTTTATTTTAATTATATAGACATGTAGAATCAGAATAAAAAATTTTTTATCTATTTTAGATAGGTGGTTGTTGAGATATTTTTACAGTTAGAGAACATGTCACACCTGTTGATTGAGTGTTAGTTTATACAGTATATACAATATTTTTTTTTTCTTTGACAATCTTGCTCCGTTTTTATTAGATTTGATTGTTTTACATATATGAATATACTAAAAACCTAATCTAACAAGTGGTTCAGACTAATATCTGGCTTATTCAAATAGTGCTCAAGTATAATTGTTGCATTAATATTAGTTATCCAAGTTTTGTATATGCATTTATTTATATACTCAATCAAGAATATGGGATCTTTGCTAGGATTTTTTTTTTTAAAAATAGATTTATTATGTTTTTCTTAATAAAAATCCTGTGTAACAATGGCTCGTAAGGTCATTTTGCTAGCAAAGATCCCATATGTCACTTGCAGATTCAAACAAATTAAAGTAGTTTATTTCCATTTAAAATTCTCTGAAATCAAAAATAAAATTGATACATCTGGCGATAAAATTAGCTTTTTTTTTT